GATACTTTATATAAATTATTTTGGTACTTCTCAGCAATCGTTTGGTATATTATATCAACAATCTCTAAATCTGAAATCCTTGGCAGTTTTTCTTTTTGCGGATGTAGCAACCATCAATAATATCATATTTGAATCCTCAACTAGTATTTTCAAGTTCTAAGTTTCTTCGATCACTATCCAAGTCGAAAGATATTGTATATATTATATTTACTCTATATCTTTATTGTTATTATTTCTAAAGAAAGATAGTCCAGAAAAGAGAACTTGTCTTATATCCTTTCAGTTCCGTTGCAACAAATATATTCGTATCACTCAATTTACTATTCCCCAGATTCAAAACATATTACTTCAAGTTCAAGATTCAAAGCTAAAATAATCCTCCGATATCAAAAATCATCAATAACCACCCCCTTCCTCACATTCTCCGCACCTCCCAGACTCCCTCACCCTCTCTTTCCTTATGCATTCCTTTCCCTTCCCTTCCATCTCCTTCTCCTTTTTCTTCCCCCACTTTCCTCTTCCTTTATACCCCTTTCTAAACAAAAACAAACCCCTTCTCCATTACCTTCTCCATTCCCTCATCCTCACACTCACACCCTTATCATCGCTAACTTTTAACCCTTAACCCTTAACCCTTAACCCCTAATCCTTACTCATTATATTTATATTCAAACACACGATTAATTCTTCCTTAGACTATTCCTATTAGCTTTTTTGAAAACTATTCAATTTACAATATATTAAAGTATTGAAATGAAAGTATTCAACTCAACTTATTATTACTCGAGTTACTCAAGTACTAAATATTTACAAATATAAGGTGGCCCTGAGGATATAAAGTTAGAATATATATATATATAATTACTAATAAAAATAAGAATAAAAATAAAAATACTATATACATAAAAATACTATACACATATCAGTCGATACTCGATACTCGATACTCAAGTACTCAATTACCTATAATACTTACAACTCGAGCACTGAGTACTCGAATATCAAAATATAAAAATATAAGAATACAAGAATATAAAGTTAGAAATTCATATACATATATATACACACTGATAGTACTACTCTCGTATAACACAATATAATACGATTTAATACCATACTATAAAACAGCATACCAATAGTAAACACTAAATATATTACTCGTATTATAACATGCCAGTGAGTTTGAGATCTGTGGTTGCAGCTAGTAAGCTACATTTAGCGGTGATATGATGTGACATGATGTGACGTGATATGACTATATATATATACTCGAGTACATACTACTTACAATAGCATAGCATAGCATAGCGACGATGAAGCCTAGAGGCAATGGATGGACGTGCCACTGGGGTGGAGGAAGAAGAGGGGGATAAACTTAATGGCACATGTGCCTAGTGATCAAGATACTCACTTGATGAAAACGACATGGACATCGACATCGACGTTCAAAGAGAAGAGATACGGCACGGTACGATATTGCTGCTAAATTTCTAGCTACTAATTCATCTAAACGGATTATAATACCCATATGCAGTATAATCAAGAGCAAAGAACGTGCACTGTCTAACTGATTGCTCGCAACTCATGTATGTATATACGGTCCACCAATGTCCTGACCCGCCCATTATGGTTTCAAATTCGTCATTCTGTACGGCATGCACAACCCTGTCGTAATATATCAGAGATCGAGCCATGAATGCGAATCTGTTCGTCTTGTTCGTTCCCATAATTCCAAAATATAAGTCATCGCTACCACCCCTATTTGCCAAAGTTACTGATCCATAATTACTGTCGCCAAGCTCAATAGCAGACCCTCTCTCACGTTATCGTGTCTATGTCTCGTCGTGCACTCGTAAACGTAAACCGTAAATTGAATCGTCCGCCTTACTCATTGTCCGTAGTGGCCTCTCTTTCCTTATCCATCATTCCGGTTCTCAATTCTCTTCCACGGTCGCCTCTGCCTCTCTGTCCTCTGCCTTGATATCCCCGTGTTTGATAACCTCGGTCACCTCTTCCACCATACCAGCTACCTCGTCCCGGTTCTTGACTCGGTCTTCGACCCATCCATCTATCTCCACCATGTGGTCTATAAGGAGGTCTACCTCTGCCGCCGCCTCTTCCACCTCCCCCACCCTTACCTCTATTGACCTTGAAATCAATTCTCTTCAAAGGCTTCATCACCATATCCGTGTCCGCAATTCCCAATTCTTCTTTCTTCTCTTCGTCGTTAATGGTCCAAGCCTGGAAGATCTGACCTAACTCATCCACGCCTCGTAACTCATCAACCCAAGCCAGAACATATTCAGCCTTGGGATCATAATCGAAAGCTTGCTTGACAGGATTGAAGATTCGATCGGTGCCTCGAGGATCATTTCCTACCCCTGCGACATATTGCCAATTGCCCCAATTCGAGCTAACATCGTAATCAACCAAGACACACTCGTACCACTCTGCGCCGATTCTCCAATCGATGTAAAGGTGTTTAGCGAGGAAAGAGGCGACATTCTGACGTGCGCGGTTGCTAGTATATCCCGTATGATAAACTTCTCTCTGCGAAGCATCAATGAATCCCATTCCGGTTGTGCCGTTTAGAAACCTCTCAACGGCATCTTGAATTTCCTCTTTTGAGACACCGTCTTTGGGTGAATCTAGTTTGTTCCATTTCGAATGCGAATTCTCCTCTGCCTTAAACCCACTAAGTTGAAAGAGCTTGGGTCCAAATTTGCGAGTGCAGAGACGCATGTAATCTCTCCAAAGGAGCTCAAATCGTACACCATAAGTACCTTCGTTCTCGCCCTTTCCGTATCCTTCAATGCCTTTGTACCGGTCGTCGGAATCTGAACCTTTTTCGAAGATTGACATTGAGGAATGGATTTGACGTGAAGTGATTGAGCCCAGAGCGAGGTATGCCGAGAGTTTAGTGGAGAAATCAGTACCCATGAGACCGTTGCGACTTGATTTGTAACCGGTAAGTGAACCAGAAGTGATCAAGTGTTCAAGACGTTCCTGTGCATAAGATTCGCCACCTGTAAAAGGATGTACCGACAAGGAATTTTCGGGGCACTTGGAAGGATTTTTGATCATAGGTTGCGCATCAAGTGGCTTGAGCAGTGCTGCTTCCAACTCTTCATACGTTGTCGGGATCGTGAAGGGAGAATGCTGAGGTGGAACGTCGGTAGGAAATGGTGGCAATGAATTCTTATCTGGCTTTGGTAAAACTGGACGTGGCGCTTCGCGAAGAGGTTCAACACTTTTACGATAAGTCGTATAGACATCGGGAAGATCTTTTGGGTCCTTGAAGGAAACATCTCGACTGTATTAAAGTCAGAAAAATTGGGGAGGTTGAGATGGACGGAAGAACGTACTCATCAATAAAATACTTCTCATCTTGCAACAATTTGAATTCAACGCCTGCCTTATCACAAATATTCTTCGTTGAGCACTCTTCTCGTTTTTCTTCCACTCCTTCTTCGGAAGTCATCCACACTGCCGAGACCTTACTGCCGTCTGTTTGTTCAAATCCGTCGATTAAATCTTGGACCACACCATCAACCATGCCTACCCGAATGGATAATCCACTTCCAATCTTCTCGAAACCATCCTTCAGATCCCAAACACTTTGCGCCAGGAACCTCGCTCGGTGAGGGCCACATCTCCAGAATGCGCCGACTTGACTTCTGGCCTCTGGGTACGGATTCTTGCCTCCATCTTCAGTGATGAAACCAGAGACTTCGATTTGTTGTGCGGCAAAAACATAGAGTGGGAGGAGATGTGTAAATCCATGATCCTTATTTTTTATGAGAGAATGAAGAATGGGGTTATCGCCAACTCGTAAGTCTCGACGCATGAGGTAAATCAATATCTTAGAATCCGACATCTTTGCAGTTGTGGCAATTGATTGATGTCTTTGTTTGAGAGTGACGGAGGAGGTAATCAAATTGACAACTGATTTGGTAGGGGAACCACAGAGGCGAATCATGCTCCGGGGGAAGGTTTCCGGTAGTATGAGATTAGAAAGATTCACCCCACAGACCTGACTCAAGGACAAATCAGTCCGTTGTGAATATGTCTTGCAGAATGTTTAGGGCAGAAGTGGGGGGGTTTTTTTTGAATGAATGGATGGATGGAATGATTTTTGAAGGATGAAAGGATAGAATAAAGATGATAATGAGGAGCAGAGTAGTATAATAGGGTTATTACTTACCAAATAAAGTAAAGTAAAGTAAAGTAAAGTAAAGTGAGAAGTTGGATGAGGAAGAAGAAAGTCCCGGTAGTATATATATAGTATAGATAGTATGGAAGAAAGAGTAGGTATGGAGAGGAACCTTCCAAACGACGTGAGTCTTGATTTGAGGTTAAAAGATGAGAATGATGAGAATTGAAGATTAATCAACACTGAATGATTTCTATAATTCAATTCTGAGAATGAATGAAGAAATTGAAAGGATTGAAGGAATAGAAGAGAAGCTTCAAATCACCATGATATGTAGGTATGTATTAGTAAAGAAGAGAAAGTAGAAGGAAGTAAAGAAGTAGATAGGTAAGTTAAGTTAGTTTGATCCTTTCAGTTACTGAAGCATCCAGGTAGTAAGTGTTGTAGGTAGTAAGTAGTAGATATTCATTTGATCAATTCATCATGACCCGATTCGTTTGATTTTTGTTTCCTTTGATAGGTTTTACCAGGTAGTGTTTGATGTATTGATGCTGTGTTGATGTTGTGTTGGTGCATATACTTGAGATGTTGCTGAACCTTCGAGTAGTAATGAATGATCTATACAACTCGATATTCAAGTACTCGATGCTGCCCGCCATTCTACTTGTAGTTAATATCGTAATCGTAATCGTAAATGTAAATGTAAATGTAAATGTATCAAGTTAATTCCAGTATGGGTAATTAGTATGGATATAATATGAATATGAGTATGGATGGAGTATGAGCCATCATCTTCAATTGCCCAATCATTCCTTCCCAATCATATATTTCTGAACGTTTTGGAAAAGGGAGAAATCTGATGTAATGTAGTACGGTACCTGTTCTCTCTAGATCGAGTGGCTGAGATTGTAAACTGGAAGAGGAGAACTTAAACAAGAAAGACGATGCTCAAAACTATTGTTGTTAGTGTGATGATCGCCCCACTTTATTCACTCGCTTTCAGGTACCAAGTCTTACTAGATTCGGTTAAGCTTGATCTTGGCTTTTTTTCCAATGCCGCTTAATTTTTCATACTTTTACTTCTCTTGAAGTCTTGCCACACAATACCAATGCCACACATACATACCTACATCATATACAACTTGAACCCTTTTTCCAATGCCGCTTAGTCTTTCCAATTGCTTCCCTTCTTTTCCCCTTCTCTTGCTTCTCTTACCCATTCCATACACCAACCTTCCTCCCTTCCTCCCTTCCTCCCTTCCTCTCTCTCTTACCATTCCATACACCACCAACCTTCCTCCCTTCCTGTCTCCCTTACCATTCCATACACCACCAACCTTTCCCTTCCTCTCCCTTCCTCTCTTTCTTTCTCTAGCCATTCCACATCAACCTTTCCTTTCCCTTCCTCTCTCTTCCCTTCAAATCTTCTTACACTAGATATCAAAGATATCTCTTTACACTACATTTCAAGATATCTCATTAATACGATTTTCGTTACATGAATTGCCGTACAGCATCTCATCAGATCCAAATCTATCTTATCTATCTCTTTTGTCTCTTTGTATTTCATCGCAATTCCGATGGAGAGGTACAAAAAGATACCACCAGATCTTAAAATCAGGGCATCTAGCCACGATATCTCTGTACAGCGAACCCCTATCTGATATGGCCGGAACAACTGTCCCAACCAGAATGCCGTTTTTCCAAACGCCTGAATACAACTTGTCCCTTTATGCATCGATGGGCGTTATTCAGTGCAACCTCTCATAATATCGTGAAAATGTCATTTGAGCCTTCACCATTCTTCTCAATAAAATACAGACCCTTTCAACAAACCCTTCTACTATACTGTGCATCTTTCCGAAAATCGTTCATATATTTCATCATATTCGGAGATATGTAGTCGAAAAGGAGATCCAGCCTCAGGTGATCACTCAACATATGCAAGATGTGGAGTACAGCATATTCATGCAACACCGTTCAGATGGTTGGCATCGGCATCTTGCATTAGTTCGACGTTGAAGTTTTCTTAGCCTATCCAGGATTTATCGAAGATCTACTTTCTTATGAATTAATCCCTGACAAGCTGAAGATAAATAGCTAGGTTGTGACGCCTCATCTGTTCATCCCCCTCATTTCAGGTGTGAAAAACTTAATACTAATACTACCATCACGACCTGCATGAGACAACTAACAGGAAACAGATATGTCTTTCAGCTGCCAAACTTGGGCAGAATATCGGATGCAGAAACTTTCTCGACGCCAAAGCTGACATTATCATGGCCTCATTTCATTGAGGGTGATATGATGTTTACTCGACGTCTCAGCACAGGTCTATCTTTTCTTGAGTTCATCCGAAGTTTGGAGGCTCGACCTGTAGTTGGAATGCAGTGCAATCTAACTCATGCCTCATGGTAGTAAATTCATGGTGGTTTCTGTATTGCAGCACATGGTAAGAAGCCACTTGAAACCCTCCACGTTGACAAAATTTGCGCAGAAGCCCTATATGACGGGAGTATATATGCACTCACTCAGTCTGTGGTAGTATCTTCTCGTATGACATATGTGGGATACAATCGAGATAACATCTCGACCTTGATTTATCATTCAGCTTGTGACGTTGTCGATCCGGCACAGAGGTAATCAGGAATCATGAACACCCACAATAGAGCTTTGGTTGAAGTTGTATCTACGTCGCCTCCGAGTACACACCAGCTGCAATCTTACTTCCGCTAGCCCCGCATACATCTCATCCAAGTGCCAGGTGAGAGTTGGAAGAGATTTGAATTCTTGGTCCCTGGGCTCCTTCTCACTCAGGAGTCGTTTGTCCGTTCTTCATCACGCACTTGATGACTAAATTACAATACAACGGTATACTGTCTACCTACTTATAGACGGTCCGAACGATGACGTGGTTGGAAAGGCAGGAAAGATGATCTTGACTATCAAGACCACGAGCTCCATCTTATTATCTGTAGAGTGGTTGGTTGCATGGGGTCCACTTGTGCCATCAATATCGGTACATCAAAAAAGAGTATCAGCACGATGTGCATATGAGCTAAAGCAATGGACCCTTACAATATTCTCTAGGGAGAGGCTTGGGTCTTTCGGTTGAAAACCGACCTGTGGGGTTTTTTGCCCAACTTGGACAAAATTTCAGGCTGAATGTTTTGCCATCTCGGGTGGAATATTCCCTATCATATTAGGGCCTGCCTCCTAGAACCTATGCATCCATTTTGGTAGTCAAGCCATGCTTCTTTATCGATGAAATTGTCGGCCTTGCCGAAATTCATTCTCACGTATCCCCGCCAAGACAAGACGAGAGCTTCTCTCTGCGAGATCGTTCATCTACATTTCTTGGACCTGACTGATCAACGGACATGCACAGGTCCGAAATTTCACTTGAATTTCCATATAGTAATATTCTAGAGACAATACGATCTTTGAATCCTGTAGTCCAGGTGCTTCAAAGAGCGCCCCTCAAGGATATTATCATTTCCAATTCATCCGGCGCAGACGATGCATTTTATTCAGTGCGCGTAAGAATATCCGCCAATCCCAGTGAATTGAATCAAATGAAGACCGTGTTTTGTAGCCTTTTGCATCCGAATGGTACGGCTTGGCTCTAGCTCGAAGACGAGATGGCGGAGTTGTAACCAAACCTATCGGCTCTTGCTATACCCTGTCTGATTTCTCGGCTTGGCGAGGTTAATGTTATCGCAATAGAGTCTATCATTGTAGATACTATTTTCAGAGTTGAATGTGGTTGTGGTTGTGTGTTTTTCAAGATGAAATACGGTGGTACCAACAAGGTTGGGGGCTATAGATATTATCAGTGAACATCAAATTAGGCGAGAGCATTATTGAATTCTGAAGAACATTCTTGAAGATGCTGTATCTCCCAGCGGGGTTGGGAGACCGTATCATCATCAGGTTACTCAAATATCTTGTGCGTCTTCCAAAAGCCCACTTCTTTCCCAACACTACAACTTTCCTCATATCCTGGTTCCACATTACATGTTAACTTATTCAACATTCAAAAGTTATCCAGACTTCTACACCTTTTCCTGGGCAGAGTCAACTTTTGTTTGGCGGTGGAGGCGAGCTAGCTTCCTATTGGCGCGAAATAAGTTTCAAGCCGGGATCGCAATAGAAGGGGTTTGATCGCGTCAGCCACTAAAAATGTCGGGCAGCTCGAGTTTCCGCGACAAATCTGAGAATATAGAATCGGGTGGTGGTTTTATGGAAGATTGTTGTAGCAGCGTATCTTCGCAAACTAGCAAAAATGATATATCGGCAACCGATCTTTCCATTTTAAATCCACCAGACGGTATCAAATTCGATAAGTTCTGGACTGAGGAGGACGAAAGAATGCTTCAGGAAGACTACGCCAAAAAAGACTTCAAGGGCTTCCGTTTTCCACCTGCAGTGCATTATGATTGGAGCAAGATCGAGGAAAACACTTCCCACCCCGGGGCAGATTATGTTTGAAAGCTCTCTTGTGAACTATTTCAACGAACCCCCTATGATTTATTCACCAAGAACAGAACTGGATCGACACTCGAGTTGGGGGATAGAGAAACCTGTAAACTATTCTCACAAGTCTTAAGCTTACCTGGCATCGAGGGAGATATCGAGTTTCTCCAATACATTTTACAGTATGGAGCTCACTTGGTCAGTCCGAGATGCCCGAAACCCAAAAAATATTCGGGAGACTCGCCGCCCAAACCCTTGCACTTTATGGGAATATTGGTGCAGAACGATCATGCGGAACTGAAGCCAGTGGTCAAATTATATTACAGAGATAGCTCGGACCCTTGTGTGGTGACGAATAATACCATCGCCAATCGGCAGATTTTATGGATGATTATTATCGCGTGGATACTCTATTCGGAGCAAGAAGATCTACCCACTGTGGCCGACTACGAACATGAAGTACGCCAAAGGCTTTCCACAGACATGCAAGATGAGGAGCATGTAATGGTTACAAAGTTGAAACAAGAGTGGCCTCTCGAATATCGAAGAAACGTTATTCGAACCCATCAATGCCGATACAAATACCTGTATCGGCAATCACACGGGAAACATGTCGTTGAATTCGTTGAAAAGGTGACGCCAGAAGGCTACAATTTGAACAACCCCGACAACAACGATTCGTTTTACTCTGTGCATCATATTGTAGAATCCATCCCAAGATGGGAAAGCGACGGCGTACCTACCGCAGTAATGAAAGAACATCTCGCCACAATACGTGGTCGTGAATGGCACTGTTTTGCAAGTTGTGATGATATGATGAACTTGGGCATTGTGCTTACTCCGATACATTTGAAGCCGGATTGGTCGTCGATGGATGTCTCATGGTATGTACAAAATATCTGGGGAGAAGGACCCAACAAAGTCTTTCTCGATCACAATGGGGATTATGTGGACACGGAGAATAAGGATGCATGGTTTCTTTCTCGATTTGATCGCCAGTTATTGAGCCCATGTCAAGCTTGCTATCGTCCGGTTTGTTGCCAGATGAGGCGGAGGTGGAATGGTGTGTTTGTTCGTACGGTGGTTCGAGAGGGGCATCCGGAAGAATATGCTATGCAAAATTTTCGTGAAAGACTCGGAAATATCAAGCGATGAACTTCTTAGTTCTTACATGATGAGACATGTTTTCCGGTGAGGGATCCAACGAAGGTTCAGATTCATATACGGCGTTCGGGTTTTTCTCATCCTTCGCATCTCGTTTTGTCAACACATAACACACCGCGTTCTTCGGTCGAGAATCGGATCCGATGGATATCTTGCATTCCGTCAAGAAACGTCCGAACAACTACCGATTGAAGTACGGGCCAGGGCTTATCTTACGGCGAAGGGTCACAGATGATGCCATAGCAAACCTGGCTTTTTAACACACTTTCGGCTTTTACTTGTTTCTGTTGTTGCGATTTTATCGCGATAATATCAGGTTGTTTTTGGTTGATGGGTTGGCATGTAGCATGAACGCAGTTTATCCAGGGTATTTTACGAGTTTTTGATATACGGATAGATTGTGAAAGTATAGGCAGTGATGCTAGTGATTTCAATGTTGGTGTTGGTGTTTATGTGTTGTATTGTGATGTGATGTAATTTGCTACACATCATGATAATTTAGTTGATGTTAATGTTAAAGATTTGTTGTATTTCTTAGCTCTATTACAAATGTTAGTAATACTCTACCATGTACCCTGCCATAGCCCGTCCCGTCCTGTCCCGTCTTGCCTTGCCTTAGCAGAAAATGCCAATCACGTTAACCGTCTTAACTCCATGCTCATGCTCATGCTCATACAAATATACAAGACAGACATAAACTCATAACCCTCATTTCACTTGCTAAAATTTCAACCCAAACACCCAACCCATTTACCAAAGACACCCCCCCCCCCTTTCCTTTCTTTCCTCTCCTCTCCTCTACCCTCTCAAAACTAATATCCAGCCTCCTCCTCATGTTCAGCCAACGCACCTCCAGGCCCCATCTCATTCTTCCCCCCATCACTCTTCCTCTCATCCATCTCCAACCTCCCATTTGTATTCCTCTCCGCCTCAAAATACCTCGCCGGTCTCTTCCGACTAATAGCTTCCGCATCCTTGTAGACCCACACACTGCTATTTTCCCTAAACAATCGATCGATATCCTCCAAGGTCCTATCGCTCGTCTCGGGATAGAAGAGATAGATAATCGGCACAAACGACGCGTTGAATACCGTCCATATGATATAGAATTTCCATTTCAGCGTCTCGATTCCTATCGGCGTGATCTCCACGACCATGAAATTAATAATCCAGTTTGCGGCTGTACCGAGTGCTGCGCCCTTGGTTCGCATGGAGAGAGAATTGATTTCGGTAGGGTAGAGCCAGGGGACACCTTGCCAGCCGAACCCGAAGAAGAGGTAGTAGATGAAGAAAAATGCGACGGCGGCCGAAGCAACTTCTTTTTGATGCGCGTACCCTTCTAATTCATTGTACCGCAGGAGAACGGTAATGAAGAGGTAACAGACTGCTTGGCCTGCGGCGGCATATATCATGAGGTTTCTGCGGCCCCAGCGCTCGATATTGGGGATGGCGAGGAGGGAGGCGGCTAGGTAGGATACACTATTGCAAGCGGCAAGGAGTCGTGCGAGGGTGTTTGAGAGACCGACTGAAGAAATGAGGACGGTGGGGAGATAGTAGGAAGTTACGTTGATGCCGCTAAATTGCTGCATCATCTGGGTTCCCACCCCAAGAAGCAGTCTGCGTACAGTGGAGGTTCCGGATTCTCCAGTTCGGCCACGAAGGAGCTCCATCCAGGAAACTCCATATGTTTCTTCGTATTCTACGGCGTAGATGATATCTTTGACGTCGTTGGTGACGCGCTCATCGTTTAAGTCGAGGTCTTCTAGGTCGGCGATGATTTGACGGCCTTCGTCGACTTTGCCGTGGGCGATTAACCATCGGGGGGATTCGGGGAGCCAAGGGACTGTCACAAATAGCATGATGATGAAGATGAGTTGGAAGGCGAGTGGGAATCTCCAGGTTACGGGGCCGGAAAGGAAGGAGAATCCATATGTAACCCAATTACTGAGGGAAAATCCAGCGACGTTGAGAATCATTTCGATGACGACGAGTTTTCCGCGGAGACTAGCTTTGGAGGTTTCGGATTGCCAGACCGGGGCTGTGGATGTGTTCATGCCGTTACCGATGCCGGCTACGATTCGACCGACAATCATCTGTGGGACGCTGTAGGCGGTGATTTGGAGAAGTGCTCCGATTGTCATGATGGATGTTCCCCATAGAATGGTCTTTTTACGACCGAGCCTCTCACCAAAAGCGACGGCTGCGATGGCGCCTACGAAACAACCAATATCGTAGAGAGCGGTTATTGTTCCCACTAAAGCCGTTTTGCCGTTAAGATTGAGAGTATTGAGAAAATCTTCAGTTACGATAACACCACCTAGGATTCGGTTAGGAAGGGTCAAATGAAGGGGGAATTGGATTAGCCATACCAAAAACACCTTGATCGTAACCGAACAAAGTCATATCCGTTGCACAAGCAACGGTGACCCAGAATGTGAGCCATCCTCCCTTCATACCAAAATAAGGTGCCATGTTTTTATGAATGCCTGTGCAAAGACTTTAAATAGATTCACATGCAATAGAAAGATAATTTAAACCCAATATAAAAGATATCTATCTCATCCGATGATGAGAAATGTTACGAGAAAAGTTAAGAGAAATCTTCCACCAACATGGGGAATAATCAACCTCTTATAACAACAACCAAAAATAGCTGTGGAGAGAAGGAGTAACAATGACTCGTGGGAAATGAACATGGAGTTGGAAACTAATCAGGATTCGGTTCAAGCAGGCTACCAATAACCTACGATCCCCTTCCCAACAACGTGACCAAGATTGAACCCCAACATATCTGAATGTTGGGTGTCCGTCCCCGGATTTTACTATTCGGGCAGCGATAATCACGTCACAGAAGTGACAGAACCCCTACAAAACGAAATGGTGTTGGTAACCCAGCCCCCATCAAACATGGGGTACTCCTTGAGCGGTACATCTTCGGATCCAGGAAATTGGCCGCTCGGTGGATTTGTGGAACTGGTCGAACGTTTCAGTTAGGAGAGAGAAGGAGAAAAGGAAAAGTTAAAGAAGATTGCATGAATTTGACATTTCTGCAGATCTATCATGATGATGTTTGTTCTTGATTTTGGTGGGGATTCGTATCCATCAATCCATCCATGATGGAGATGAATCGAGCAGATGGAATAAAAAAGTGGTACAAGTACCTACCTACTCCGTACATGATATGCAGCGGGGTGGAACGGAAGTGCGGAGACTCCGGATGGAGATGTTGGGGTGCAGTGAGTGGTATGTAACGGCCTCATTTTCGGCTTAATAGATTGGAGTTTGGTATGGTATCATTTTTAATGCAATGCGATACGATATGACGAAGTGCTTATACTGTACATTGATATGAGATGAGTGTACTGTAAGGAAGTGTATAGAATATATGAGGAGGTAGGATCTCAAGGGTAAATTAACCTGATCGATGGATGCGAGCGAAGTCGTCACGAGACGAGAGAAGCAAAGAACAATAGAAGAAAAAGAAGAATAACTCGTAGAAGACGCGTCGAACGCCATTACTGTCATGAAGGAAGGATACTGCCAGTACTGACTCCTGAGTAACTCGTAGTGTGTGTGGGGTAAGGTTATTTGGAATATTGTAGAAGGCGAGAAGGGCAGAAAGGCAAAAGAACCAATATGGGCCAATGATCTGCAGGCTGCGGCCATATAGCCTCGAGTCATGATAGGTAACTATGGGCCGAGCGGTTGTCAGCCAGCGACTATTTCGGCGAGCGTCTATTTGAGCGAGCGTCTATTTAAACAAACAGCAAATGTACCGGTAGTCGCTCGCTCGCTGGATGATGAGGATATTTGAATCTTGACAGACGCGCTTATTATTCCATCTCATAAGACCTTTTTGTGCTTTTCAATGTTAGTTGTGTATCGATCCGATCTCTTCACATAATTGTTTGGGTTTGTGGTTGATTGACATCAATTCTCTTGGTCGACAGTTAGTTACCTACCTGACTGATACCGTATATCACCAAGCATGTTCTATCCTCAAATCAGTTGATTGATTCCCTTGATGAAGCGCAAACAGTGTACTCGTACAGCAAGTGGCCCTCTTCGATTGTTCAACCAAAACGAGGAAGAAATCTGATTATCCTCACACGAATTCCTGGTCGAGGAGATCAATTTCCTTTCCTCATCATGATGGATAGATGATAAGTTTTGATTATTGTGGAAAGAAGATAAATTATTGATTTACCGGTACTGTAGCTAGTGATTAGTCAGCTTTTCTCCCCCCTCCCCCCCCCAACCCAGACTTCAACTGCGAAATTGGACATCAAATCGGATATTTCGGTCTTCTTGACGGTATTACCACTTTTCATATCTTTTCATATCCAAATCATGACTGATAGCACAATACTCGGATATTATAGATGCTGTACCATGAGATTTGCAGATTGAATCAAATAGAAGGACAATACTAAGATCTGAATACCGGTATCCAAGTGGAAACCGGAACATCAGCATCATTCATTCATACAAGCAAATAAGTCTATGTCCTCCTCTAATATCAATTCAAAATTTCCCCATTCCCTACCGCAGCGGTAACATTCAACACCATCCTCCCCTTGCCATTGTTAACCAACACCTCACACTTATACTCCTTAATCAATAGCCCTAAATATTCTCGCATTGGGATTCCCTTCCTCCGTTGCTCTGTGTCAAAAGTAGATGACAGATATGTCTCTTATACTTCTCTCAACAATGTTTAGCGCTCCTTCTCCTTCATTATTTCTAATCTTGAAATCTGCATCATGCTTTTAAGTCAGAAAAATTACACTCATATCCTCTAGCTGCTAGGTATACCTGTAATATAAACGTGTTATCCCATCATTATTCCCTCCGTTTATATCACCACCTGAAGGGAGGAATTAAATCAATGAAAATCATGAATAGGAAAATCCCGCAGGGGATTGAAAGATTGAGATTAGATTCATACTCGAGTAGTGCAATACTGTATCAGACTTTAGATCAGGCTCTAAAACGTCAGCACACTCTTGTCTAAAGGTCCATCAATAATGTTATTGCGAGAACTTGAACGAGAAGGAGCTAGAGTGCGATGGAATGGAGGGGTGAACAGCCCGCGGTCATTATGTTTTTGGGTGGTGAGAGAGGAGATACCGAGGATGGACAGGAATACCGGTAGGTATTCAGGTTCGTAAGTTCATTTGGAGAGAAGGTAGAATGCCGGTATCCTTCATCATATACTTTTTGGGTAGTGGAGCAAATAACCAAGAGTAGCCGAGTTGAGAAGGTGAATGAACCAGGGTGTGTAAGAAGTTCTCGAGTGATTGTGGTGAGAGCGTACGATATTTCCGTATTGGCCTTTCGACGAAGTGGAGCTTAAAAGGGCGGACAAGAGGATGGTCTGACTAGATTGATCTTTGTTATATACATCTATTCCTGATCTCTCGAAAAAGATACGAAGAATCGTGGATGTGGCATTTACGAAAAGATAGTGTGGATATTCCTTGTCGATAGATAAATTTACCATGGCACCATGATCTGATAGGAGCTGTATCATTTCTGTAGCTATGGATGAAGAATATTCCATACAATCCTTTGGAAGTGTCGCACCCCCCCCTTCCTCCTTCCCTCTTCTTCCCTTTGATACTCCTTTCCCTTCTTTTTCTTCGATATCTCCTCCCCCCTTCCTCCTTCAATACTCCCTTCTTCTTAATCTCTTCGATATCCCCTCTCTTTGATACCACACTTCTCTCCTTCAAAATATCTCCAAAAATACCTCAAATCCACTCCAAAATCGATAAATTTTCATCTTCAGAGTTAATAAACTAGTAGTTGTCAATCAGAATATCCGTTCGCTTATTTGATTTGAATCTCTGTCTTATCACTAATAGCTGATATTCATCGCTGTCAATTAGCTGACTTGTTGGCCACTCTAATTACGACTGGGTTATTTTCTTAGATATCTTGCCTCTTGTTTTGGGCTCGGTAGCTGGAATATGTCGAACCATCCGGAATAATGGGCTCGCTCCATTATCAAGGAAAAGCTGAAGGGTCTTTACATCTCCGCTTTCGGTAGCTGATGCGAGGTAGGCCTTTGTTTTCCGCATTGATGTCTTCGCTACATTCTGATATATCGGTAATCCTGATGATACCTTCGTCACAACCGACATGATGGGGGCTGTAAGGCCTTCGGCTTCGGGTTCGGATTTGTCGGGATTGGCTCCTTATTTGAGATAAGACTAGCAATATTGAAGTCAACAGAATTTCCTCTCAACTGCAGTATTGTGATGGATGTAAGTAAGTACTGGCAATTTGTAGAGGGGTGCGATCGTGCTCGTCTAAAACATCGACTTTGGCACCAAGAATGATATCAACAGTTTATCTGTCTAGCTCTCATTCTAATTTGCTTTGATGAATGAAGATAGACATCATACAGTATCGTTGATGTGTATGGACATTCACATATTGTACCGATTGTATGCGAATAGTCAATACATATCTTTGCCAATCAAGTATTCAATGGCCTCCACTTGCCATTGAAGCTTTCTGCCAAAATGTGAAGGACGGTCGTTTCTTGGGTGATATTTCCTATCTCTTCATAAAAATGATTCTCCCTTGTAGCCCGGTGAGCATTCACATCCACTTGTCCTTCGACTACAAATTGACCATATCCATATTTCATATTGAACCTTGACAAACCGCTGGTAGGAGTGGTCAGATCATGCTCCATTCACTCTGACAACTATTTGCAATTGGATTGTTAAATTCTAGATCATCAAAGCGTTTTGCTTTGGAGACTAGTGGACCCATAATTTCAGTCAATCCAAAGTGTACAAGTTTAGCAATCGGAGGTTCCAGATTACCCTCTTCATGTCTCTCTGCCTCTGTATTATCAAAGCCTCGCGCATAACTCTCACTTGGGATGATTGAAATCTCAGAGCAGTTGCATCTATCAATCCCGTCGCAACCTTGAACATTGGTGCCATAAGTTAACTTTCGGCAGAACTGGTGCTTTTTCCAGATTATTCCTCCCTTAAGACATTTACCAATTTCGTGCATTTTGTTTGCATAGAGTGCCACCTGGCAAGCACTTTTACTACTAGCTTCAGCCATTTATCAATATTTATGCAATGATGTTAATACGTAGTATACTGCGATACATCGTCTAAACTAGACATAGAGTATAGACCCCAAAGTTTGGCAGCCCAACCCAAGCCACTCTAACGGAGGGTTACAGTAAGAAAGGCATCTTACCTACGAGAATGAAAAGTCCATGCCCTTAAAACTTTTAATACAAAGCTCGAAAACCATCATCACTAACCTACACAAACCTCAAAGGGTGGGAGGGACTTATGAAGGATCTCATATATTAAGTTCAGTAGAATTCCCCCTTTGGGGGGAAATTCCAGATACCAGCTTCGTCGAAAACCTCGTACATGCGACTAATGGCGTGACTTCAAACTCTCCACACGTCTCGCTGTTTGTATCAGCTGAATTTAAGATACCATCGGATTCAGTCTATCTGATATGCAAGTAGTAATGAAGTGATATCTCATCGGAGTCTCGAGCAAGTAAAACCAATCGTGGAAATGACTTCTTGATTTTGATCAAGTAACATGGAAGAAATACCACAATAGCATCCGCGAGCAGTGCAGTAAGACGCATGAGCCGATCAAAAGCTTAAGGATTCAAATCGACGACAAGACCTGATGATTCCGAGGTAATGTTCGCATCAACGTCAAACATAATCGACAACTGATCGAGATAAAATGGTGTCCACCAGTCATATCTCCGGACAAATTGCTGCAACCATAGACTGGACTCATGATGTGTGCAGCAGTCTTTCGTTAATGATGCCTTAAATCGATTGAGATGCCATTTTCAAACGAGGATTCAATCCAAGCGATATCACTTGAATCTCTGTCGAAAAGCGCCGCAGTTTCATGCAACGTGGGGCACCAGTGATACTATATGTCCGATTCGGGTCTTCTTCTTGGCTTACAAGTAATCTTGAGAAGCTGGACAGAATTATTCGACATGACGATATGGATGTGTATCAGTGTATATTCAAGTCTGATACGTCCGTCTTAATGGTTAAAAATATAACACTTCTCTGGAGTAATTCACTGTTCATGTATCTTCCCACAGTCCCACTGCATACTAGTAGCAAGTGATAATGTGATACCAGTCCAGTGATCCTGATTTCCCCTCCTATCCTGTCCAGCCTTGCAGGAGAAAATAGGTTCGCTGGCGCATAGGGCTAGAAGCGAGAAGGAGTGGTCAAATCCTTTTCAGGATAGGAGTAGAGGGGAATAGTTAAAAACGAGGTTAGGAATGGATAGAAACAGCTTAAATTCCTAGGAGCAGGAAGTTGTGTTGAAATTATGCTTACAATGCCGATGTAGTAATACAAATGGAGTTGGATTGATATGAAAATAATTGAGTAAATTTCCAGGACATACCATCTATCATCTCAAAAATATTAAACCCCTTCCCCTACTCTCCTAACCTAGCTCTAAGGGATAGGAGAGGAAAAGAAGAAGAGGGGAGCACTGAAGGGGGAAATCAAGATCACTGTACTAGTCTCCACGTAAGGGAAAGATGTGGTTGATATTGATGTATCCAAATCACAATTCGGACCTATAATACATACTCTTAATCAGACCTTCAAGTCACACGCTCTCTGAGAGGGTGTACTGAAGAGAAGCCGAAGATTCTGTTGCATCAACTGAAAGTCATCTTTTCTTATATGGATAAATTATCACTCAGACTAGTTGTGAAGCATTATTGCCTTGTTTCCCCAGCCCCAAGTATTGACTCTGAGGAACGAACTCCTTTGCTTCAATAGAACATGTGTAAGGGACCAAGGTCGAACTGGAAAGATTGCGAGGGATGTATTCATTACAGTTTTTGTGAGATAGGTAGAATCAAGAGTTTAACATCAATTAAAAATACTCGTATCAAAATTCGAAGATGACTACAGTATAGGGCTGGAGATCTTTACTTGACTGTCTGCACATAATTTGGTCAATTGACCTAATTGATTGGCTTGTAATTTAAATTGATGGTCGATTTATGTCACATGAAATAGAGAAGGAGGAAGCAGAAAGAGGACAAGAGAAAGGGAAGGAAAGAGGGGATGGGGCAGAAGGAAAAGGGGGAAAGGGAAAGGGGAAGGAGAAGGAAAAGGGGATTCTCTTTTGAAGATATAGTTCTGAAGATATATTATTAATATTTACTTTATTAAGAAAACTTTTATACATACTTCAATTAATTGATTGATACGACATTTTGAACTGACAGACTTGAATTGATGTTGCAACTTGAATTGACGGTCAATATCCAGCCCTATTACAGTACCATACCCTAACATTTACACGGTTGGAGGAAAGAGCACCTCACTTACCCTTTTTCCAGATTTATACCTAGTCCGTCCCACTTAAGCAACGAGAAGGATTAAACTTTGATTTGAATAGTAAACCGCGATGTTGAACTTCAATGCTGGCTTTTAGTCACGTATACATCTACGTCAACGATAGATAGGCTGGACAAACTTAATTCATCAGGAACATCCACATCTTACGACTTATAAGAACCATCATTCTACTAGATTTCTCTTAGACCAAGGGTCGTTGGCTTCCTATTCTATCAGGCTGATATTCGAACCAAAATTGAGATTTTCCTGTAGGTCATTCAGCCATATTCGAATATTTCGATCCTACTTGGATGACTCTCACTCCCTTGAAAAACTTTTGCAGGACTAACGTAAAATTTGACCTCTTTAAGAGATTCACCTCACTCTACTTGTTGTCGAGTTCAATTCATTCAAGAGATTCCATTTATTTTACAAAATTCCAATCCCCTAAAGGGTTCACAATCTTCCAAAAGTCGCAAAACAAATATAGCTTTGGCTACGAGAAACCTCCGGTTACACTGCCATACTAATCACAGGGAAGTTGCAGAAATACATGTCCAGGAAAGCTCGAGGATCCAAATTACGATCATGAGAAGCACCTCATGATACAGTGCTAATCCAAAGACTGCTGAAAAGCTTTCCCTCCAAGTGTCTTTTGATCAGGATAGCCATGTCCCTCTGTGAACTTCTATTGATAGACCGATTCTAACGTGCTTATTACCTAGGCATTTGGCACATCATTTGTAGCAAACATGACGCTGCATTATCCCCAGCATAGCTCAGACGACCCTACGGCCTTTCTCAACTTTCAATTCAAACAGCGACGAGTCAGATCCGGTCCGAGTCATTCGACTGTCTCATTGATAATGCTTCGTCCACGACCCTCGTCGATCTACACGCGCATCATGGAGCTGGACAGAGCATATAATGTGCCATCAAATGCTCAAGCACTAGATAAGGGAAATATGGCAGTCAAACTACATGGTATGTGGGTTACAATTGGTCGCGAAGCAGATCATCCATCTCACTACGTCGCATCAATCATGTTCAATCTTCGAAACTTTACAAGACAATCTTCCTGGAGACCACTATAGGATGATGGGAAGGCGGCAGTGGATTGACAGCAAATTGAGGCAACCATGGTTTGATTTGACGTAGAACTTGGCAGATTTTAATCGACATCATGGTAGATGGATGCATGCGCAATGTAACACGAAAGTTTTGGATGGCATTAAAAAACAAGGAATGCACAAACAAACCAGTTGCAGTATGAGGGATCTAGAGGCACTGCGAATAGATCTACAGAAGGAGACTGGTATGGTGTTACTGGCACATACTTTTGATAAGTCCTACGAGTATACACAAACAGAGCGAATTATGTGCAGTAAACGAATACCGAATTTGTATATTTGCACGGATAATGATGAGAATGAGATGATGAAGATGAAGATGAAGAGAAATCAAACGCGAAGTCGCTAGATTAGATTCAGCGGGAGTTCTCATCCAAAACTTTCAAATTGAGCACAGTGATATTGATTTCTCCTCCTTAATGCTACCTTCCTCTTCCTGAAAGACAGGATAGATTAGGAGAGGGAATCTAGCAGTGGTTGAGCAGTTTTCTAGGGTGTTAGTTAAAATTTGTGTACATGTTAATTCTGGTCTCTTCTCCTGTGGTCGGTATAGATTATAAGGGGAAATTTGATAGAGATATGCTCCAAATTCTACGAGTAGACAGTGAACCTGAGTCGTGACACAGCAGTGGTTATTGACAATTGAGTTAGCTGCAATGTTGTTAGACTGCGCAGAAATACTCCGCTACCTGTGGGGACCCGCGGGGGACCTGTTGAGCTTTCAAAATTATCCGCCCTGCAAATACTCTGCAAATTTAATATTTTTTATAATATTAATATTATAAATATTATTGTCAGAAGTGTATATAGATTATATTCAGGTACAGAATCTAAGCTATATTATTGAGCGTATAAGTAAACAAGATGTACGCTAGTAGTGAATATAGAAGAGGGGTAGTGCCGTGATACCCGTAGTACCCATGACTTTCTAACAATTATATTAATATTATAAATATTATAAAATTTATATCTACGGAGTATTTGCGGATATTTGCAGCGGATACCCAACGGGTCTCTATTCAGATTTTTCTATTATCCGCTCTGCAACCGGGGGACCCGCCAGGCCAATAATCCGCCCCGCGGGTACCCGTTGCGCAGCCTAAATGTCGTTAATAGTGAGCTTCCCATAGAATGGCCACCTGATTCCCAATCGGGGAAAGCGATTGTCCCCTGGAAGCGATTATCCCTTTTAGAATAATCTATATTTGTTGGAAAAAATAATGCTAGAATATGCCCTAGAAATAAATATTATTTATTTAATATGCTGAGTAGAAAAGAAAAGAAACAATTGTTTCCAGGGGGCAATCGCTTTCCCCAACTGGGAAGTTGGAAGTTGGAACCAGGTGGCCATTCCATGGAGAGCTTACTGCGATCGTTGAACTAGTGGAGTTGATAGCCGCTGATCCAGGTTGGATTTCTATTATTTTTCCATTGATCATGATGATGGATTCTATGCCCAATATCCCATGAATCTAATGAGTTCAAAAAAATTTCAATTGTAAAAAGAAACTCATGAGTCATGCATGGGCAGTCAAGCCTAATTAGGTATGCGCTACTTTTAACCTTGAGTAGATGGATATCGCTACATCCAATACGGGGCTTATCCTACAGAAATATCATACAAGCAATGTCCATGGTCATATATTGCTAGCGATATTTTCAGAGTGAATTCGAAAGTGTATTGAGACTTCAGTAACCTCCCCAATTCCAAAGACCGCTTATACCTTCCATTTCAGGGGCTTTCCAGGCTTCCTGGATCCTCCCTCCCCCTCTTTAGGCCTTTCCATTTTCCCTTTCGGGCCTTCCCTCATTATAGACTTTACAATTTATAAATTATAACTTGAATCTAATTATCGCACTCTTGTTATTGATAAACCTTAATCGTTTATATGAACGATTAGCCCTTCTTATTGGGTTTCATCCTCAAAAATTTACGCTACATCTAGTTAGACTAACACTAAGATTTGGAATCTCAATTCACCATCTCAATACCTCTTTTAAATCAATGATTCCTTTTATACAAGGAAAAGATCTGCATAAGGTGTCCGTAGAATCAGTGCTGGTTATTGATAATTTATCATCGCTCCAGTTGTGATATTCAAAAATTTAATCAAGGAATGCCTCACTAGGTCGCCCCCCAAAGTAACGCAGCTTGTCTATCTCTACATCTACGAGCATGGATATACATGCATACCCTGATACTAAGCGTCTAGACACAAAGGGCTATAACCCTGATTACTCGGGTGAAGTAGGTTCTAGTTGATTGAAGGTCCGAGCAACAGAAAAGCAACCATGGAAAACAAACGTCAAAGAGAGTGGCAGCAAGAAGCATCATTGAAAGCTATCCATAAAGTTTATGTAGTACAAGAACTAGTTGAATCTAAGGTATCTTGGGGTGAGTCACAGTGAGTGGGTGAAGTTGCGCGGCTTAAATTTATTCAAGTGGATAGAATGCTAAATTTTGTACACTAATAAGTTAGCAACCACCGCTGTATCCCGCACCGCGAGATACCCGCTCAACCATACCATATTGTACCTTTCGTTTATTGGTCTGTGATGTATGGATGTACATGTGACTGTGAATGAAGTAAACTCAAGTTTTAGGCCTCATGATGAAATGAATATCTTCATAAATGGCACTTGAACGAGTCTGTCGATAAACTTGAAAACCAAACTAGTTAAAGTTCCACTTGTGAGACTTACGCGTCTTAATAATTGGGCGTATTTCCGCACATGTCTGCGCATGAGCTCAAGACGGGGAAGAATTGCAGTGATCGATGACGTTGGAATTACAGGACACGGAGCGACTTCGCTTTTTTTTCAAGCCATCAATCTAATCAAACACAACAAAACATTATAGAACCATTAATTCCTTACAGCCACTCCAGTCTCTAGATATCAGCAATAAATCCACTTTCTATAGATATGAGATGTTGCTGGCGTAAGCTCTACCATGTGATGTGATGAAATATGATATGCTTACTGTAACCTCATGACCCATTCCCAAACTCACCGCTCACACAGGGCAAATACACACTGTAAGCAAAGAAATGAAATCTCATGTACCCATGTATACTTGAGATTGCTCCTCCAGAGTTATGGAATTTTGCTTCGGCGCGTCGCATCATATCCGAGTCGCTCTCGCACTATTTACTTATATCGTCAGGCAAGTTGAACTCCAATATATCATCAAATACCAAATCATTTTACAAAACTTCAAATTATGTATAATTATATGTAATTTAATAATTAAAAATCTATGTTTCGCATCTCAATACATCTCGACTCGTTAACAACCCCTCCTCTAGCCGTTCTACATAACCGAGGAATACCATGCTCTGTAACGGCACATGAAAACCCCTTCATCGCAGCTCGGTAATACCAGTCGACCAGCCCTGGCTGCCTGGCAATTCGACTAATCCGACCGACGTATTTCAAACCCATGATCAGAATTGTCATTATTGTCCAACTGCTCTTTTCCGCCGCTTTCAAATGGATTGAGGTGTTATATGTCAAGTACCCTGTCAATCGGTTCAGTGTCCGGCACCGGTGTGCCGACTAGCTTTAATCCCGAGGGCTGTGTTTGAACAAATTCGGTTGTGATATTTATCTATTTGTTGTAAGCTATGAATGATTATTATCGTGGTTAGTAAAAGGGTACAAGAATGCGATATACATTTATATATACTTTACTCGCTTTACTTATATCATCTATAAGAATAATTAATAGATAACTTGTTATTATTCTCATCCTTTCAAATCCTTGGGGCCTGTCAGCCAAGCACTCGCTCGCCTCTTCCCTCCCGCAATTGAAATCCCGTCCGGCGTGGAGATTTATATTGTAGTCGATGCAACGCCGCCAGCATGCTTCGTATATTATCTACCTTCTAAATGCGATATTCTGCAGTAGTACGAAACAGACAACCCAATCGCTTACTCAAATACGAAATGTACGTCTATCCCGTATGAGGAGGCATCTTAGATAGGAAATGTACCCAGAGCCTTACATATCTTCATAGTCAGATGATGAGATTACTTACCAACATATGCACATACGTTCAAGGTGTGGGCGGGCATGGTATCCACTCGTGGAGTTGTGAAGGAAGAAGGAATACCTGTAGAATAAATGCCGTTTAATTCTGTGAGATTTCTGCTATATACATAATGCCGGCTCGTACATGGCATAACTGTTGAGTTGGTCGCAACACTCTGGTGAAAGACGTTGAAAAGTTCGAGCCCGCATGTTTTATTGGTAATGAGAAGGAATGCGGATGGAACAATTAGATTGTCCGAACGAAAGGCATGAATTGATTCTGCATGTGTGTAGTAAGAATCTTGAGTGTGCATCTGGATACAAATAATCAATTACCTATACACACAAAGTTCATGTATTTAGATCCGTCCAGAAAGACCAGGTCGACCTCCCGCCACTCACCTAAGAATCATTGCCCGAAATACGCAATTGCTGTAACCGAAAGAGCCGAAAGAGACAAGAGTACAGTATATCCTTATGCAACACAGGTTTGTAGAAATAACAACCCACTCTTGTATATAATGTTATCTTTATTTTCTCTTATTCCCTGGAGTCAAAGATTGAATATAAGGACTGTAGTGCTTATTATTTGTGACACTTTTACCGTATGAGTGTGGCAAGCCGTAATTATGTGTTGGTTGTAGGGCTTGTGCTGCGGGAATGAGGCGCAAGCATCAGGCTAGCTCAGATACAGTGACGAATGAATCTGCTGTAAAAATGAGGAGAGTACAGAATGCTGTACAGAGTACCAACTAGGTATTCTCGATCGGATCTTCCTCCGATGGAAACATGAAGAAAGAAACTTAAAAGATTTAGTCATTTTGTAATGAATCATATATACTATACTGGTGGTGTATGAATCGTTTCGGGAGATAACTAACATGGACGATCATCGGATTGTTGAGCTTCGATTTAGGTACTGTATGCCAGT